TTGTCTTTGATTTTTGCTATATTATGATATACCTTAGGGAATTTTCCTTTGGATTAAATTTTATTGGTGATCTCTTAGCTTCCTGTACCTGGATGCTATCATATTGCTCCAGAAATGGAAGATTTTTCGTCATTATTTTCTCAAATATGCTTTCTAGGCCTTTTCCTCTCTCATCTGCCTTGGGAATTCCTATTACGCAGATGTTAGTTTACTTGACAGTGTCCCATAATTCTCCTAGGCCTTTATTTTTTAAATTTTAAATTAATTTTATTTTGCTCCTCTGGGTAATTTCCTATGTTCTGTCTTCAAATTCACTAATTCTTTCCTGTTTGATTAATCCTGCTATTGAAACTTTCTAGTGAGTTTTTCAGCTCAGTTATATTCTTTATTTTGGGATTTACATTTCTTTCATGGCTTCTATTTTTCATCAAATTTCTGTGTTCCTGGATTCTTTTCCAAATTTTAGTATTTGCCGATATTTTCTTATGATTCCTGAACACCTTTATGAGGATTAGTCTGAATTCTCTGTCAGGTATTTCATAGATCTTCAACCCTTCTGGGCCCATCCCTGGAGCCTTGTAGGTTTCTTTGGGTGGTGTCATAGAATATGGCAGAAGTGATACAGTGTCAGTAATGGGCCCAGGCTGTAAGAGGTTCGGTAGCTTCCTCTTTTGCCCTCTTGGATCCCTAAGTCACCATGTGAAGCCACTACGCTGCTAGAGAGACCCCCTCCCCCACCACCCCCAGCCAGAAAAGCATGGGAGCAAAGCCATTTTGCACTTGGCAGCCCTAGCTGAGCCTCCAGATCTGTGCATGCATGTTCACGCATGAGTGACCCTAGGTAAAACCAGCAGAACATTCCCGCTGAGCCCAACCCAGATTGCAAAACTGTGAACAAATGGTTGCTGGTGGCTATTTTAGTCATTAATTTTGGGGATTGTTTGTTACATGGCAAAAGATAACCAAAGCCAGCAGCAGCTCTACTTCTACTTAATGGTTGGGACCAACCTCAACTATCACCATACTCCTTTTTGCCTATTCATCTAATGGCAAGGGAAACTCAGAAGGCTAGGGGACAGTCTTGGCTTCTCATTCTATGGAACTATTGTGTCTTCTGGTAGAAAAATTCCCTTGGGTGGTAAACCTTGTAAATCAACAGGACCTCTGGTGGCAGATCAAAAAGCAAGAATTTTCAGTGGGTAACTCATGTATTGGGAAATGTAATGTTTTCACTTCTCTGCTGTTGGACATTTGTGTTCCAACCACAGACACGTCATAGATTTGGGGGTGAATTCACAACTGGTAGAAAAGCTCTCCAACATCACAGAGAGGTATCCCACATCAAAGAACACTGTGAGTCTCCCTTAGGCGATCTACGGGGATAATTGGGGCATGGGAATGTCAGAAGAACGACTCAGTTATCAGCAAAGTGATGAGGTAAATGATGGTAAAGGAATTGCTTAATGCCATTTTGTCATGTGGCCTCACAATTCCTCTCCTAAAGACAGAGTATATTTCTCCCTCTCAGGTGACGCTGTGGCCAATAGGCTGAAATAAGAGTGACAGTATACCAATTTCAAATCTGGACCTGAAGAGGCCTTGTGTTCTCACTTGTTCTCTTGTACTTCTGCCTGTACTATGAGGAGGAGTTCACTCATCTCCAGAGACGACACTTGGAGCCTACCACCCTCAGCTATAACTAGGTAAGCTGACAGCCAGACAATCCCTAGACACAGGAACAACCGCCAAGATCAGCAGGGCCATCTAGCCTACACTCAGCTGATCCTAGGTGTACGAGCAAGCCTTATTGTGTGCCATTGAGGATTTGTGGCTGCTTATGACCCAGCATTATTTGACTCTACATAACAGCTACATATGGTATGCAAGAGGTATACTGGGCATGAAGTATGCCCACAGATATTGAGAGGTTGGTGGGCAGGAAAAGAAAAACCCAAATTCAGAACAAATCTCTATTCCACTGAGGCTATGACATTGTCCTCTGTGGTGAAAAGGGTTTGGTATGATCAATCTGCCACCACACGTCGGGTGGAGGAATATAGTACCATTTCTGGCTTCTGTCTCATTGGTGCCTTTCTAGGGAAGTGGCAGACTCAAGAGCAGGCATGCCTGCAGACAGCATGTTATATCTTAACCTTGCAATGTTCTCATCCTCAACAATTAGCATTTGTTTAGATTCAACATCCAGTAGTCCTTGGGAGGCTTCTTTATTAAAAAAAAAAAATAGATTAAGGGGCCGGGCTCGGTAGCTTAGCCTGTAATCCCAGCACTTTGGGAGGCCAAGGCAAGTGGACTGCCTGAGCCTGTGGGTTCAGCCCGGGCAACTTGTTGAGCCCTCATCTCTACAATAAATCAAAAAAATTGGCAGGGAGTGGTAGCATGCACCTGTAGTTCCAGCTACTTGGTAGGCTGAGGCAGAAGGATTGCTGGAGCCCAGCAGGTTGATGCTGGGGTGGCCATGAGCGTGCCACTGCACTACAGCCTAGATGATGTAGTGCGGCTCTAACTCGAAAAAAAAGAAAATAAATCAAGGAACCTAAGGGCAGGCAGTTCAGCCAGACTCCACAAGGCACTGGGGTGGCTGAGGCTCCAGGAACCAGAACTCCCTCTGACCATGTGGTCTATCTCCTTCCAGGTTTGTTTGTTCATGAGTACATCTAGCCCCAACCTCCATGTCCATCCAGGTAGCCCTTAGTCTCCTTTGAGTCTGACTAGACACTGGGAACCCAAGAGCACCAATCAGTCAACACCTAGGCCTTTATTTTTTTAATTTTAAATTAATTTTATTTTGCTCCTCTGGGTAATTTCCTGTGTTCTGTCTTCAAATTCACTAATTCTTTCCTGCTTGATTAATCCTATTGAAACTTTCTAGTGAGTTTTTCAGCTCAGTTATATTCTTTATTTTGGGATTTACATTTTTTTCATGGCTTCCATTTCTCATCAAACTTCTGTGTTCCTGGATTCTTTTCCAAATTTTAGTATTTACCGATATTTTAAATAATAACAAGTACATTTTAGTTATGTGAGAGGGTAATTTTATATTTTATAAAGCCCAGGACTTTAGGGAGAGGTCAAATCTGACGGAATAAACATGGCAGCAGAAAAGTTCATTATCCTTTCAACTGGGTGTGGGTTGAGGAATTTCTCAGGAGTATAAGGATTGGGTGAGGTAACCCCAAATGACACACACTTCCATCCTTCCCTCTACTACCTTTTGTAATACATTCTTCAAAAAAATCAATCTTTAAAAAGTCCTGCCATCTCACCTTGACCAATGCTGAAGCCCCTTATCACAGAATGGTCATCAAAGCTGAGACCAAAATAATCAGATGCCACAAGAGATAAAGTTCTAAGAATATGAAAGAATTCAAGACTCTTGTCAAATCCCGGAGTGGTCAGAATTAAATGAAAGGGAACTTTTTCTGTCTTAAGAGCAAAATCTAATCATGTGATGTGCAGGATATCAGGAGTGTGCAGAGTACATGACCATCTCCTGTGAGTTACGGACCCAGGGACAAAGCAGCTAACAGTTGGTTATGGTGCTACGCAATGTGGTCGCCAAGTGACCTAGTTAGCAACTTGGCTGAAAATCTCTGGTCATTATGGAATCACAGCCATGTTTAAAAGCTACATTATCAGGAATGGCAACCTGCTAACTTGCATAGCATGTTTCTGGATGATGAAGTCAGGGTAGAAAAAAAGAATGGACATTACCCACCTGAGAATAATCACCATTTAAACCTCAGGCAAGAGTTAGGAATGGAGACCTTAAAGAGATTTTAAAACATAATAACACTTTCATGTTAAAGGTTCATTGTTGCTATGTTTATATTTGAATCTCAGTATCTCCAATTTAAAATGCCCACTCATGGCCAGGCTTGGTGGTTCAGCCTGTAATCCCAGCACTTTGGGAGGCCGAGGTGAATGGACTACCTGAACCTGCGAGTTCGAGATGTTGTAGCACGCGCCTGTAGTTCTGGCTACTTGGAAGGCTGAGGCAGAAGGATGGCCAGAGCCCAGCAGGTCAACACTGAGGTGGCCGTGAGAGTGCCCACTGCACTCCAGTCTAGGCGACAGAGTGAGACTCCAACTTAAAAAATAAAAATATAAAATTGCCCTCTCACATAACTAAAATGTACTTGTTATTATCATTTAAAAATACTATTGCGATTTATGTTTTAGTTTCAAAAAGTGCAATTAAAAATGCAGAATTAAGTATTAAAAAAAAATAAACCACTTAGGCCAGGTTTGGTGGCTCATCCCTATAATCCCAGGAGTTTGAGACTTGGCAACAGAGCAAGACACCCAATAAAAATTTACAAATTAGTCACGCGTAGCACACACTTGTAGTCCTAGCTACTTAGGAGATTGAGGGAGGAGGAGGACGCCTTGAGCCCAGGACTTTAGTGTTGCGCTATAATTACACCACTATACTCTACTCCAGAGCTTGGGTGACAGTTTCTCAAAACAAACAAACAAACTTCTTAGAAGTAATTACTGAAATAGGAAATACTTAAAAATAGATAAGATTTGAAAGTCAAACTTTTCTAGACCTAAGAAGACACTAAGATTTTGGATTTATAACTTTAACAAAAAAATACATTTAACAACTCTGAACACTTAAAACAGACAAAAGGGCCGGGCTTGGTGGCTCAGCCTGTAATCCCAGCACTTTGGGAGGCCGAGGTGAGAGGACTGCCTGAGGCCGAGACTTCGAGACCCATCCGAGCAACTTGGTGAGACCTCATCTCTATAATAAATCAAAAACTAGCCAGGCGTGATAGCGCACGCCTGTAGTTGCAGCTACTTGGAAGGCTAAGGCGGAAGGATCGCCGGAGCCCAGCAGGTCGAGGTTGCAGTGGTCCAGCAGGTCAAGGTAGCAGTGGTCGGGAGCATGCCACTGCACTCCAGCCTGGGCCACAGAGTGAGACTCCGACTCAAAAAAAAAAAAAACCCAAAAACAGACAAAAGAAGAGACTGGCAAATATTTATTCTTTATTTTATTTTTTATTGTTGACACTATTACAGATAGATAGAACGACCACAACCATATTAACAAACCAAAAACCTGTGCACAGAAGATGAAGAAAATATATCAAGATGTTAACCACAGTCTTTGGATAATGAAAATATGGGTGAGTTTCTCTTCTACATAACTGTAACTTCAAAGTTTCTATAATGAACACATACTTTGTATGTAATGGAAATATATGTAATAAAGGTGGATTACCAAAACACTTATTGTAACAATGAAGACCATTCAAGGAAGCTGAGACAAAATAACCATAATCCCACAACGACCACACAACTATGTAATTGTTTTCCATCTTTCTTCCTATCTTTGACATTTATGCACACTTATAACACCCTAATAACCACAAACTGGTGCTCAGATCAAGATATTAACAGTAACTATTATTGAGTGTTGGTAATATGAATTTATTTTTTCTTTCTTTCTTTCTTTCTTTCTTTCTTTCTTTCTTTCTTTCTTTCTTTCTTTCCTGAACTTCCAAAGTTTTCCATGTAATGAAAAAATACACACAATTTATTACTAAACCACCAATTATTCAAAGAATTTGAGACAAAATATTTAACCATAATCCCACAATGACAATACTATTTTAGTTATTTTCCACATTTCTTTTCATTTTAGATTTTATGTATATATTTTAACACTGTTATAATCACAAGCTTGTGCACTGAAATAAGATGGAGGAAACAGATCAAGATGTTAACAGTTGTTGTTGGGTGTTGGGAATATGGGTGAATTTTTTTTCTTTTCTAATTTAATTTATTGTATTGCCTAATTTTTCCTCTGGGTATATATTATGCTTGTAATGGAAACATACATAATACACTTTGTTTTCAGGACACTATTATAAGGGACATTTGAAAAAATAAAGATGAAAGTACTTAACCATAATTTCACAAAGATAACATAACAGCTATTTTAATTACACAGCTTCACATAGTTATACTCATAAACCTGTGCACAGAAACAAGAACAAACAAGATACTGAAGAGTATATCTCTCTTTGGATGGTGGGGATATGAGTATTTCCCTCCACTTTTCTGTATTTTCCAAGTGTTTGATAATGAGTTCAAATTATGTTCACAATGGAAACATGATCATAAAATTTTTAATAACACTACCATAAAGAACACTCAAAGAATTTAAGAAAATAATGCTCAACTATAAGCCTACAACAACAACACAACAGCTTTTTACTATAAGCATACACTTTTAGACAGTTAACAGCTGTAGTATAAATATAATTTTGTGTCCTGCTTTCTCCACTTAATATTCCGTAAATATATTTCGACGTTGCTACATAACTCATGATTATCACTTTTAAACAGCTGCATAAGAGTCCACAGATACGTTTACTTAATCATTTCCCTATTGTTTACCATTTAACTTTTCACTGACTTAAGTTGGAATGGACACTCTGACTTTTGGCAAGTTGTTTTCTGAAAAGACTCTACCAGTTAACATTGCCAACAGTTCCACCAAGTTCATCCTAACAGCAACACTGAGTTCTGTTTCAAGAGTCCTTTTCCCAGGCAGTGCCTCACTGCCTCTCAGCTTTCCCAATGTCCATTCCAACCTCCAGCCTTCCTATGCAGCAGACTCTCACCTACACCATGCCATCAAAGGCTTCTTCTTCCAAACTGCCCAGGACACCCCACTCAGTTCATTCTCACCAGCCTGGCCTTCCACAATCCCTGCCTCCGGTGTTTTTTTCTGTCTGTCTCTTCTCTCTCCTAGCTCTGGTGATGTATTAAGACTTCCTTCTTTGGCTTATTCATTTCTGCTTCTTGCTGTCAGCTCTTATAATCTCCCTAGACTTTGGCTTTCTGTGTAAATTTGATACACTCCCCACGAGCCCCAATCCTGCTGATCTAGGAGAGTAAGATTCAGACACATTTCCCCCAGTGGGTATTTTAGTTTTTGTTGTTCAAGTGATCTGCACTTATCTCTTTTGCTCACTTGATCTATAGATCTGCTTTTTATAAGATTTTTTTTATTTTAAATTTTTTTTTCCAGACAACACAAGGCCAAAAAAATTTTTAATATAGTCATTATGCGAGGGGAGGGGAAGCAAAGGAGCACAGGTGGTCCACAGAATAGGACACGGGAAACCTCAAGCTATGAGGTCAACTTGTGATTAAGAGGAAAACTAAGGAGATGAAACAAACGTGACACTCTAATGAACAGCTCAGAAATACTTGGGAGGGCTGAAAAATAAGTAGCAGATGCTAACAAAACAAATTAAGGCTGCTGGGGAACCTGAGTCCATGTTAAGCTTGGGTTGACTGTAAAGAAAGCATTTTTGTTTAAAAATGCAAGTTAAACATGGGGTTAGAGAGTTAGGGTAGGGAAAGAAGAGAATTAAGTTGAGCGGTAGAAATATCTAAGGATACTAGCTCCTGGGCACCCAGGGTACAGACTGACTTGTGGCAGCACACACTAAAGCTGCAGAGGACCCAAGCCATGTTGCTACTTGTCACTTAAGGCAGGAAGCGCACAGAGGAAGTGATAAAAGGTCGTTCGCCTGCATCCTTATTTATTTACAGCATGAGAGCCTTTCCTTCGGTTCTCAACCTTCATTAGGCACTACCGTGATCTAGTGATGGTTGTAACCCGTTCTTTAAAGGCAAAGACATAAGATTTACAGGAACAAGCTTCGGGTTTTATGAATTCACTATCGAACATTGAGTTGGTTTTAAAAAAAAGTGAAATATTTTTTGCATGAGAACCACTGCAAGGTACGCACAATGTCGCAACCAATCAATCTGGGTCACAAAAGGCCAATCTGCGAATTGTAAAGGCTTATACGACATTAGGTTCCAAAGTGTTGGTGCAGACAAAATGGCTGCAGAAAGAAGCTAAAAGTGCTTCTCTCTTCAAGCAGTAAAGAGTAAAACACACGTAATCTTTCATGCCTACACTTTCACAAGTATTCAAGAATAAGAAACAAAACACAGCTAATTACTCAAAAAGATACTGGCAGGGTTCAAATAATGCACAATAAATCTTTCTCAGGACCTAAGACACTTACAAATATATTCTAATTTGTTGCTCTCTTCCTCCTCCAAAAAAAAAAAAAAAATCAGAGTACCAGAAAAGGTATCTCTGCACAATAAACTGTAACTGTATATTATATTAAATCCAAATATATGTGATCACTGTTTTGCTGTGATTTGTTGTTTTATATACACCTCAGGAAACATTATATATAGGTTAAAGGAGTGTCATTTACAGTTGATTGAGGCAACCTTTGTAGTCTCAAATACATATAAGGTTTCTCCTCAGTCTGGTTATTTGGATGAAAGGTAAGATATGTGTTGTGTGGCCTCCCACATCAATACGTTGACATTTGATGGGAAGAGCTACAACTGAAGGAGTCTCCGCCTTCAGTCTCTTTTCAGTTAGAGTTGTCTGATGTTAAGTCACGTGTGCATACACTAAGGTAAGTTTCGTAGACATTATCATGGGTTGGCTTGAATTTGCTGTTGTTTAGTAAGGGTCAAGTCCTGGGTTAAGGTTTTCCAAACTTTACCCCACGCTCTCAGCCAGTGTGGGTATTCTGGTGTCTGGCAAGGGACAGGCGGTCGTTGAAAAGCTGTCCACAGACGTCACATTTGAAGTACTTCTCATCAGCATGATCAGCACCACCTGTGCTGGTGCTGGTGCTGGTGCTGGTGCTAGTGCTGGTGCTGGCACGTTCAATGTACCCTGAGCACTCTCCAAAAGCATTTGCAGGCTCAAATACGATCATGCTCGCATGAGTTTTCAGGTGCTCACTGAATGCTGCGCTGGAAGTGAAGGTTTCTGTGCATTCATGGCAGTCATAGTATGGTTCTTCCACCTCAATCTCCTGATCCTCCCCTTCTTCTTCTGGGTCTTCGATCCCTGCACCATCGGGCTCGTCAGCATCTCCCTCTGGCTCTTCGGCTTTTCCCTCTGGCTCTTCAGCTCTTTCTTCTGGGTCTTCAATCCCTGCGCCATCTGGTTCATCAGCATCCCCGTTGGGCTGTTCGGCCCCTCCATTGGGCTGTGGCTGTTCAGCCTCTCCATTCGGCTCTGCAGCTTCTCCATCTGGCCCTTCGGCCTCTCCGTTTGGCTCAGCAGCTTCTACTTCTGGCTCGGCAGCCTCCACTTCTGGCTCGGCAGCCTCCACCTCTGGTTCGGCAGCCTCCATATTTGACCCCTGAATCCGCAGAACTTCTTGGGGAACAAGGAAATTGGCTTCAACCTCCTGGGCTGCCGCTACAGCTCCTTCTTCTTCTTCATCATCATCTTCTTCTTCAAGATGGAGCTCCTTATGTTTAGTGAGGACTGTGTTATGAATAAAGGACTTGCCGCAGTCCTTGCATTCATAGAATGGTATGGCTCCTTTGAGGGGCTCAACAAGAAATGAGGTATGAGTATAGGAGGACCCATACTCATAGGGCTCATCCTTATGAACACTGATGTGATCTGCAAGTTCCGATGCATTGACAAAGGATTCCCCGCAGACTGCACATTCGAACAGTCTCTCTTCAGTCTGGCTTCTCTGAAATTCAGTGAGGGCTAAGCCTGGAATGATGGCTTCCTCAGCCATCTGGCTCTGCTCCAGTAAATCATCTTCTCGATGAAGTCTCATATGCTCGTTAAGGGCAGAGCTATGAATGAAGCCCTGTCCGCACAGAAGGCATCGAATGGCTGACCCAGCAAGAGCAGGATTTCTCTCTGCGGCTCGGTTTCTCCGTGGCTTCATGGGCAAGAGGGCAATAAAACCATCATCACACCCCTTCATGGAATACAACTGGTCTTGTTCATGGATTCTTTGATGCTCAAAAAGGAATGAGCTGTGAATGAAAGATTCTCCACACTTTGGGCATTCATACAGCTGCTCTCCAGTATATTCTCTCTGATATTCGCTGATGGAATGGGTGTGAATTACAGAATGTGTGTACTCACGACTGTCAACGAGGCACTTCCTGCTGTGGACTTTCTGATGGTCTGTGAGGTCTATGAGATCCACAAAGCCCAGCCCACAGTCCTGACATTCATAAATCGTGTCATCAGGGTCATCCTTCTGAGGCTCTTCCACGTCTGAGCCCTGAATGACAGAGTCTTCAATCCCCTCCTGACCATGGGTCTCCTCACCATGGGTCTTCTTGTCATGAGACTCCTCACCACTGATCTCCTCGCCATGGGTCTTCTTGCCATGAGACTCCTCGCCATGGGTTTTCTTGCCATTAGACTCCTCACCCCAGATCTCCTCATCATGGGTCTTCTTGCCATGAGACTCCTCACCATGAATCTCCTCATCATGGGTCTTCTTGCCATGAGACTCCTCACCACGTATCTCCTTACCACAGGTCTTCTTGCTATGAGTCTCTTCACCATGGATCTTCTCGCCATTAGACTCCTTGCCATGGGACTTCTCATTATGGATCTTCTCACCATTGGACTCCTTGCCATGGGACTTCTCTTGGGCATTGATTTTCTGATGTGTATTGAGGTCTCTGCTGGCATCAAAGCATTGCCTGAATTCCTTACATTTGTTTCGTGCTTGCTCTTTAGCATACTGCTCTTGGGCATAACTTGTCTGAGGATCAGTAGGAGCCAGACTGCGAATGACAGATCGTTCATAGTTTCTACTTCCAGAAGGCTTCTCTCTATCGTGAATCTTACGGTGCTCGGTGAGGTCAGAGCTATAAGCAAAGGACTCCCCACACTCCTCACATTCATAGAGCTTCTCTCTAGAGCGAACTATTTGCTGTTCACCAAAAGGCAGAGAGTGAATTACAGAGGTCTCATTGCTCCTACGCTCAATGTATTTCTTTTTAGCACGAGCCTTCTGGTATTCACGGACATTTGAACTAGGAACAGAAAATTCTCCATCCTTCTTAATTTCACCTGACCCCTCTCCAGTAAGACTTTTTTGAGGTTTGGCATGGGATACACTCTGTATAACAGACTCCTCGTAGCTGTTATTCTTACCTCCTTCATAAGGCTTCTCTCTGGCAGGAATCTTCTGTCGCTTATCATTAAGGTCTGAGATATAAATGGAGGATTCTCCCTTCTCATTAGATTCTACCAGTTCATTTCCATTGTGACTTTTCAGAGACTTAGGAGAAGCTAAGCTATAGATAACAGATCTCTTGTACTCCCTTCCCTCACAGGCACTCACTCCAACACGAACTTTCTGATGGTTGATAACATCCGAGCTCTGAACGGTAGACTCTGCTATCACTTTTGGTTTGTGGGACCCCCCTGCACTGCTACTTTTCTGAGCTTCAGCAGAGGATAAAGTATGAATAACAGACCTCTCATATGGTTTCCCCTCACAGACATTTTCGATAGTGGGAAACTTCTGGTTTTCATCAGGGTTAGAGCTAATAGTGAATGCCTTCTCATCCTCCTCATTTTCAGGTGGTCTTGTTATAGTATGACTCTTCTGAGATTCAGTGAAGGGCATGCTATGAATGACAGATTTCTCATACCCTCTGCCTTCAAAGAGGTTCTTCCGAGAATGAATTTTCTGATGCTCACTGATGTCTGAGCTTTGCATAAAGGCATCTCTGCCATCTTTAAAGTCATAGAGCTTCTCCTTAGTGTAACTTTTCTGACGCCTCTTAAGAGACTGACTGGGAATAAAGGTTTCCTCACAGACTTTACTCTTATTTTCAAAAGGGTTTCCTCTAGTATGAATTTTCTGATGTTCTTTCAGGGATGAGCTATGAAGGAAGGTCTCCCCACAAACCTTACATTCATACATTTTCTCTTTGCCATACATTTTCTGAAAGTTGTTAAGTGTTGAGCTGGGCATAAAGGCTTCCCCACGCTCACGCTCACGCTCATTATCTTTGTCATCACCAAAATGGATTTTCTGGTGCTCAATCAGGGCAGAACTGTGAAGAAAGGTTTCCTTACACACCCTGCACTCATAAAATTTGTCTTTACCATATATTTTCTGAAGCTCACTGAAGGTTGGGCTAGGCATGAAGGCCTCCTCATACTCCTGATCCTTACATCCTGCAAGATACTCTCTAGCATGAATTTTCCGATGTTCCGCCAAGGCAGCGCTCTTATTGAAGGTCTCCCCACATTCCTTACACTCAAAGTGTTTCCCTCCAGTCTGACTTTTCTGAACCTCACTGACAGCCACACTGTGAATAAAGGACTCGCCATATTCATAGAGGTTCTCTCTAGTATGCATTATTTGGTGCTCGACAAACTCAGAGATGACACTGAACGACCTCCCACACTCGTCGCACACGTACGGCATTGCCCCCAGATCCACCGGCTGTGACTCCGTGAAGGAGGGGGAGCTGAGGCTGCCCAGGCTGCTCAGGCTGCTCATGCTCATGGCTTTTCTCATCTCACTGCCACATTCAAAGGGCTTCTTCCTGGGACAGCCCTTCTGATCATGAGTTGAGCCCTTCCCATCTGTATCGAAGTGATAGCGCCTTTTTCTCTCAAGAACTCTCTTTCTGGAAACAGGGTTTGAATTAAACCTAAAGCCGCCCCGAAACGCATTCCCTTCATAACCCCTCTCCTGGATCACTGACTCCCTCTTGTTGAACGAAATGTCCTTCCAGTTATCATCTGACATTCTGGCGAATCTCTGCAACCGATCACTCGACTCCCTTGCTCTTCCCGATTTGGAACTGCGTGACACATCCTTGATGAATTTTTCCATTATCACCCCATGGGAAGATTCATCTTCACAAATTCCCCGCCGATGGGTTGACTTTTTGGCTTCAGGCATAGTTTTCAGACCTGAGAAGAAACCCCAAATGTAAAAACTTCCTAATACCCTATACTTGTACAAAATGACAGTGTGACTTGGAGACCACCCTTCTGTGATATCTGGGAATGGAAAGTGTAGGTTTCTCAATACCTATCGTCATTGGTTATATGGCTTCTCTGTGGTATCTGCCTGGTGCTTACCTCGGCTGGTGCTTGGGTAGGCACTTCTCTTGGACCTTGATGAGTGGCCCTGTGTCATGTGGGAGTGGCCATCATCTTCAGCCAGCTGCACCCCTGGTCACAAGAATAATAGGATGGCTCAAATTCATCACCGAGACACATCACCATGAATTGATCTCCATCTTTCTCTGAACTACTAAATATGAAGCAGTCCATATCTGATGCTTTGGATGTCTGCTTCATCTGCTGTCTCATTTCCTACTACCCATTCCTTAACCCATTCTAATCTGCATTTTAATAAATTCTTCTGACTCCACTCGAAAATGTGTACAAAGGCCCCCATGTGCCCCTGAATCAAATGTATTGCCTTTTTGCCTTCACCTTACCTTCTCATACTACCTCTTGGATCTTGATTTACTCTTTTTCACGGGCCTCTATGGTCTTCCTCTTTCATCTGAACTGTTCTTTCTCCACCTGCTCTTCAAACACTGGAGCTCCTTAAGGCCCCACAACCTTACAGAGCTGTACAGCTGTCTACTATTCACTTGAGCTAGATGTTGTCCAGGAGAGTCCACACAGGAACCCAGCATCCCATTTTGAATGTCTATTTAAAAACCCCCAGTGCCATTGCTCTAGAAAAAGTATCGACTCTAATGGCAAGAAGGTCTCCCATCCTGTACAAAGTATCTTTACCTGAAGACAGAGAGATTTCTTAAAAATACAAATCTCCTCATTTACTTCCCTGTTTGAAATCTTTCAAAGGTTTCTTATTACCCTTCAGGTCCAAATATATTAACTGGATTCTAATGTCCTGCAGCTTGAAAAGAGCAATGACTCGACTGAAAGTAACTATGAGAAGCTGCTACTTACCGAGGGACAGCAGTTTCCTATAGTTCTCCATGTTGTCCTGGATTGTATTGTGAGGTTTCCTTTCCTCAGTGAGGTCCACGACGTTTTGGTATGATTCGGCATCCTAAAATGTCAAGCACAGACCTCTCAATGGAATCTGTCCCCACGGATGTGCAAAGAGAGAAGGATAATGTTGGCGAGATGGGAGCTACGTATACGAAGTTATATAGAAAGTGCTCACGGTACTGGGGTTCTGAGTGATCCAAGTCAAGTGTTACTAGGGGCCTACATCGTACCTACCTTGGCGCTACACTCTGAGGCAGATCCCAAAGACGCATGACACATATTCCTTGCCCTCATGCAGCTTATAATTTGGTTGGAGAGAAAAGACTCATGAAACAATTAGAGAACAATAAACAATAAATTGGGGTACAGATAATATAAGTGCTAAACGGGTTTCATAAAGGAACAGTTCAGGGTGGGCCTGAACAGTGAGCAAAGGTTAGCAAAGGACAGGTGGGGCCTTAAGTAGTGGGTGAGATTATGGTATGTATAGAAGGGGATTGGTGGGAAAGTTTGAACAGGTTAAATATCAAACACACGTGACATACTCAGGGAACAGAAAGAAGATGTATTCAACCAGATCATCTGGTAAGGATATGTGATCTTAACCTCCCTCCTGTTCCTGAACTACACAGCATGGCTACACTGGGGTGCTTCCAGTGTGTAGAATTTTCAAATAATCCAGAAATATCTGTAAGCACTGAGGGCATTTTTATAACTGCCTTTTCTATTTTGTTTTGTTTTGTTTCGTTTTTGAGTTGGAGTCTCACTCTGTTGCCCAGACTGGAGCGCAGTGGCCGCTCCCAGTCACCGCAGCCTCAACCTGCTGGGCTCCGGCGATCCTTCCACCTCAGCCTTCCAAGTAGCTGGAACTACAGGAGCGGACTACCACGCCCAGCTCATTTTGATTTATTGTAGAGATGAGGTCTCGCCAAGTTGCCCAGGCGGGTCTCAAACCCGTGGGCTCAGGCAATCCACTCACCTCAGCCTTCCAAAGGCGCAGGATTACAGGCTGAGCCACCAAGCCTGGCTGCCTTTTCTATTTTAATGGATAGTTTACCTTAAAAGGAATGTTAAAACTTGTTGCCTTACTCAGGAGAACCTTCTATGCAGAATCCGAAAGGACCTTTATTTACTGCCAGAGGATAGCACTAAAACATCACCAGTTTCAGTGAGTCATGGTTCCAGGGAGGATGGCACTGAGGCCTAGAGAAAGACTTGAGGAGGGAGATGGTGTTGTGGGAAGCCTATAAGCTTTGGAGCTGGAGAGAACTCTGGGGTCAAAAGAGAATCACACTATTTATGGGCTGTGCAACACTGGGAACAGAATCTTTCTGAATTGTTCAGGTTCTTCATCTGTAAAATGGGGAGAAGAATATCCATCTGCCTTGCAATACTGTGTGCAAATTTTCTGCAATGTGATATATTGCTTAAATATTTAAAGAAATTATGAAAAGAAAATATAGATGTTTTGATGTTAAATTTCCTAGCACAGTACTGTTGCTGGGAAAAGGCATGAAGCAATATGAAAAATGTAGCAAGAAAGGATTTGCTAAATAAGATACATCTACCGAGAAAGAGGCACAGGCAACTGGGTGTAAGGGGAAAAACTTACTATTCAACTGCCAGTGCAGCCATGAAAAAACAAAAACAACAAAAATTAAGTAGGGCAAAGAAATGAAAGAGAGCTTCAAAAATGAAGCTCTTTCTCACATGCAAGCAAAAGAACACGTTGAGTTAAAATTAAGTTCATCTATGCAAGTAGGTAGCCCTAAATCAGATGTTCACTTTGTTTGTAATCAACAATGACATCTGAATGTATATGAACTGCAGTCAAATTCAACTAAAAGAGATGCTGTGCTGAGAGTGCTAACATGGCGCAATTTAATTTTTGTAACATGACAACCTATACACATAAACAATTAAGAGATTTACATATGACACTGAAAGATAATGAAAGAATTTTCCATTTTGTACACTCTCAAAATGTAATTTATATCATCTGCTGCTGCTGTTTCTACCATACTATGCCTATTGGAAGCAGTAGCTTCCAAACTTTTAACTACATGGACATGGGGTTTGGTTGCCAACTCTTCACCATGCTGTCAAAGAAGGGCATTTAAAAGGCAATGGTGTCATGGTAGTTGGGCTTTGTCTTGCTTTGCCTTTTAAATTAATTTTTTTTTTAAGTTGGAGTCTCACTCTATTGCCCAGCCTGGAGGGCAGTGGCACGCTCACAGCCACTCCAGTGTCAACCTGCTGGGCTCCGGCAATCCTTCCACCTCAGCCTTCCAAGTAGTCAGAACTACAGGCCCGTGCTACCAAGCCCAGGTAATTTTTTATTTATCGTAGAGACAAGGTCTCACCAAGTTGCCCAGGCTGGTATCGAACCCATGGGCTCAGGTAATCCACTCGCCTTGGCCTCCCAAAGTGCTGGGATTACAGGCTGAGCCACCAAGCCTGGCCGCTTAAATTAATTTTAAGTTCGTGTTTTCTTTTACTTTCATGTGAGAAAGCTTTGTGGTGCCTACCTGGCCAATTCCACTCATGCCTCAAGTCTGTCTTCCCACCTCTTACTCAGTCCCAGCCTCCTGGCCTTTGTTCAGTTCCTGTCCCACAACTTTAGCTGAGTTCTCACTAATCCTGAGACCCTTCCCCCAACACCTGTCCCAGCCTACACCTGCTTAACTCTCCACACAAGTGTTAATACCTCCAAGACAATTTCCTTCAATTCAAATCAAGATCCCTGTTATGATTTCCTGTTAATCCTCTATTTTTTCTTGAGCACGCTGAGAATGATTAGCAGTTATACACAATATTTACATGAATATTTACTTGTGCAACTGTCACAAGCTTTTCAGGGCAGGACTCCTCTCAGTGTTGGTCACTGTTGTGCTCACTGGAGCCCAGGCCTGCCATCCGATATGCGGTGAGTGCTGCCATGTGAAGGAAACGAAGGCTCAGCCCACTGGCTCCTCCCTCCTTTGAATCCTGTCAGTGCCAGGGTCGTTTTCCACACTTTGCTATGTCTATATGAGCCCCCTCCTCCTTCCTTAAAGGCAAGCTCGAAGTCCACGTCCGTCTTTCTCTCACCAATCTCCCTGGCACACCCTGTCTCTTAACCCACAATTACCACAATTATGAACACTTTCAGTTGCCTATCTACCACGTGCCAGGCACTTCATACACATTAGTGAATCTAACCCTTCGTAGTAGCCCTAGGAGCAATCATCACACCCACTTTACAGATGAGGAAACTGAGGTTCAGTTTAGTTGAATAAATGGCCCAAGGCCACATGGCTAGCAAGTAGCAGAGTTGGGCTTTGAACCCAGCTCTCGTCAGCTCCAGAGCCTTTGCTCTCCCTGGTTGGTCTGCTCTGCAGACCCACAGCTCTCTTGGCTCCCTCTGAGGACCAGAAAGATCTCAGAGTCACTCAGCTTCCTTGGCCCCATAGGGAATGGCCAGTGCAACCAACCTACCAACCTACACACACATGCTGTGGGGCAAGAATTCCTCTGACTACACGGATGTATCAGGAAACAGGCAGCTGCAACTTGGGCTGCTCCTCACACATGGAATGGGCCTGAGCACCTTGTGGAGTGACGGGGGCTCTCACCCCAGGTTGGACTATGGGGTGGATAAACACACCATCTGGGGAAAGAAAGGCATCTTTGCCATGAAATGAAGATGGCCTTTCTGGAAAGAGAGGAAACCTGAGCATACCTGGGATCGGGACTCATAATCCATCAAGTCCCTGTCGTCGTCTCTTTCCATTTCAAAACTTGTTTTTGCTATCACAGGAAGGGAAAGATCCCGTTGAGGCAGTCCTGGGAAGAGAAAAGGCATCAGGAAGGAGCAAAGCCTAGTCCACCCCGTAGGCCTCAGGTTTGTACCACTGAACTCTGAACCCAGTTGGAGTGTGACTGCGTGCAAGTGAGTTTCTCTCGTCTGCATTCTGCAGCAAGCTCTCAGGAGCCCCACCAACACAGTGACCCTGCGACATCCCAATATCAGGACAGGGTCAGGGCCCTGCCTCATCCTTCTGTTCCAAATCCCTGGAGGTAGCTCACATTGTGCCCCAAGATGTGCGGGTCCAAGCATAGTGCCGATAAGCCTCACCCTCATCCTTAACCTCTGGGTCTCCTTAGCTGTGACGTGACACAGGGATGCAACAGAGGCACCATCTGCCACAATCACCACTTTGAATAGTGCCCACGGCATTGTGACCCATCACTACACATCACTACTGACATCCTTTTCCTGACCATAATTTTAGGGGCACCCTGCTGCCTATTGCAGCATCCTTTAAGTCCAGGAGGAGTAGGAGATGATTTTTGGTGGTGAGGATACCAACAATACATCGATGTGATGATTGGCTCCTTTTCAAAATCTCAAGCCTGGTGCATGAATATGGCAATTCCCTACCATTGCAGGAAGCTGGGGGAGACATTTCTAGTTAACATCATTGGTACAATGTATTTTTTACTATCACACCATCTACGGCATTTATATTAGTTTTCAATTTTTGTAGTGGCATAGCCCTTTATATAGAAACTTCTAGTTTTAAAAAAAAAGTGCCAGTTTAAGAAAAATACTGAATTAACAGTAGTACAGGTGGAAATGGGTATATGTGACAAAACCTGCACAGGTGGTCCTACTGAGCACAATGTCAGAAACAAGGGGGAACTGAAATATATAGTCCAAATTGAGTGGCAAGGACTTCCAAAGACCAGCACCTTCCCCTCAAACTCATGGCACATGTGTCTGGGTACAGGCAGCAGGTGACTCACTGTTTCTTGGGTTCCTGGTATACGACCAGCGGTCTCGCGGCTCCATGTCTCTGCTTCTGCCCCTCCGGTCCCAGTCCCTGTCTCCGTCACCTGAACAGATCAGACATTCAAATGGTTAACAAAGTACTCTGACCTGCCTGTTCTCCTTGCACGTGCATTCACACTCTGCAAAGAGACACTGACCCTACTTCTCCCATAAGCAATGGATCCAAAACTGAGTGCCAGACTAGACTTCCAGGTTCATCTGGGCCCCTCCCCACCCTGTATCTGCAACACATTTTCTGCAGGCTTCATTGAAATGGGGTCTGCTACAAAGCAGTTCCAAAGCTAAGCCTAGAAGCAAACTCTCCCCTCAAACCCTCCGCTGTTCCTAAGGGGCCGAGTCCACATTCAAGAGAAGGGACTGCATACCCTCTGCTATCTGGCTCATGCAGCCAATCTCAAAAGTGCAAAGAAACAAAACCCAAGAAAACAAGACCCCCCCCAAAGCGATGCTCCCCTAAAAAGTTCACTGAAGCATCTTTAACAAACCCTCCTGGGGAGGGTGGGGGCACAGCTTGAAGCAGCCTGCTACAAATTCCAAACAGCTTTAAACACTTTATCATTTAAGAAAATCCTGTATTTCACACCATCTATTGGTGCCTGTTGAGATACAAAAATGTCTCACTACATCATCAATACTTTACTCTCCCCTCAGATTTCCAGGTGAAGTCAACCACTCCAAGGATGGCGGGTCATCTTCATGGAGGTCTCAATGCCCACTGTACTGCCATCTGGAGGCATCTGGCAACAGCCACCCATGGGTGGTAAGACCAGCAGTTTAGATACTCACTGCTGAAAGAATGGACTGTACGAGGCAGTGGGGACTCTCCTCTGTTTCGGTTCATGTCGTCGTCGCTGTTAATGTCACTGCTAGTGTCATCTGACAGGACACCAAACTCCAAGTTAATGCTTTATCATCTTTGGCCTGTGTTCTCAAAATAGCATCCCCCCAATCCTTGGGTCACTCCCCCATAAACACAAGTACCTGGAGTAACCTGATCCTAACATTTCTCAGCTCAAAACTCTTCAGTGACTTCCAGCCACCACTCCTGCCACGTAAATACTGGGCAGGGAGCATGGCCACAACCACCCTGACCATACCCCAAGGCACCAATAACCAGCAGGCAACTCCTGGGATACCATACCAAAAGGGCAAGGATTACAAGAGGTTTTCTTCCTTCTGTGTCTCCTCTCCCTCTCCTGACGCTCAGCTGGGGCAGTTTTATACTCCAGGGGACACCCAGCCATGTGTGGAGACACATTTGGTGGTCATATCCAGTGGAAGAAGACCCCAGATGAGACTCAACACCCAACAGTGCACAAGACAGCCCCCTCCCTACCCCTAACAGAGAATGGCCTGGCCCAGAACGGCCACTGGTAGTCTCAAGGCTGCGAACCCCGGGGAGCACCTGCCACCTGCACCAACAACCGTCCACCTTTGGAGAGTCTCACCTTCTGGCTGGTACATCTTTGTGTAATTCTCCAGCAGAGTGACGAGCTTCTCACAGTTCTCTGGTTTTTTTGCCTGCACCCAAGGTTTGAGCTTTTCAGGGATGATTGTCAGGTACTGCTCAAGGACCAAGAGCTCAATGATCTCCTCCTTGGTGCGAGTCTCCGGCTGCAACCAATCGAGGCAGAGGTTTCGGAGTTTGATCAGGGTCTTTCGAGGCCCAACAAATTCCACATAGAGTAAGTTCCGAAATCTCTGATGAAAGAATTCAGAGTCAGTTGGGCCTTCTCCTATGATGACATCCGGCTCCTTAGTCAAGTCACTGTCTAGCTCATACAGATTGGGGGCCCAGGACTTCTTAGGTTTGGTGGCACACAAGTGCTTTGGATGCGGCATTTCTCTAAGTAAAATTTTCACTGGAGGAACCAAACATGAGTCAACAGGAAAGACGCGGCAGCCTGTGACAGTCAGTACTCAGGGACCTGTAGATCGTAAGGAGATATACACATGTCCCAGAAGTTGAGGACTAGGCAGCAGGGCGTGGCTACCCTACTGAGGGTATCAGCAATACTTTGGGATATGAAAGCCCCAGTAAACCAGACACACAAACGACTATACAAAGTCGGCCCCGGCACAGCAGCTACATCATGACCCCTGGACTTGGCATAGACCTCTGCTACTAACTCGTTAAGAGACTGTGTGCAACTTGTCTAATGCCCTGGAGTATCTCTGTAATACTGTGAGATGAGAACAACAGCATCTACATTGCTTTTAGAACTGTGAAGCTTAAATAAACTAAGATACCTCAAAAGCTTTAACTGCCCAATGCAAGGTACTTGGGAAATGTCCAAGGCCTTAGCCATTACTAAAATCAGATGTCAATGTTTTTCTTAGCCGAAAACGAAAAGGGGAATTAGGAATGGAGATAAATCCTCTCATTTCTAACATTTCTTCCCTTAACACAATTATATTAAAACACAGTATACATGTAAAAGATGGAAGACTACTCAAAAATGTTAAAAGCACTCAGCACTGGATAATATGATTGCCAAGTGGTTGAATTTTCTCTTCACTGATTAACTTCTCTACACCTGTGATGCTGTATAACACAGCTGCTGGCCCTATATGGCCATTTCAATCAAAATTCAATAAATTAAAAATTAAGCTCCACATCTGCACTAGCACATTTCAAATGCCTGGTAGACACAAGTGGCCCACAGCCACCATGCTGGATGATGAAGAATGTTCCAGTGTCATGGGAAGTTCCACTGGCCTGCTTGAGTTTGTAGGGAGGCTCAGGACTAGTCACAATGCTTGCCTTCTGAAGGCTAGCAGACCCAAAATGCAGTCCCTTGGAGCTCATGCTGACGCCACTTCCTCAGTGTCTTCCTGACTCTCCAATTCATTAGGTCTTCCACATATGGATCACATTATTCTTAAATGTGTATTTGGGTTTATTTGCCTATCTTGCCACAATTAATTGTGAACTCAAGTAAAGGGAGATTGACTTTTTCCATCACTGCATCCCCTAGTGCTCTGCACAGTCAGATACTGACACTGCTGTGGCATACTGAAAATTATGCATGAAAATCCACTGTAAAACTGGTCTTAGACGCAGACAATCACTCTTAACATAGGGCTGCAGCTGCATGGCATAATTTCTAGGGAGAGTCACCCTTGGGTAACTTCTATACCAGTCTTTGCAAGAGAAATTCCTGGGTGTCAGCTCACCTTTACGTGCCCATCTTTCTACCAGGCCTCGTGAACAACATAATGGAAGCACTAGGAAGCTCTCCTACAATAGTGCCTAGTGCACTGGAAACAAACTAAATATGAATCCACAGGAACTTTATAACCTGATCAACTGACATTAGTCACACAGTGAGAACATGACATGTAACCACTGAACCTACGGGCGTCTCTGTCATCATCAATCTTGCCAAAGATCTAGTCTCAAAAGAACTAGCTTTCTGTTTGATAATACTATTGTTTCTTTACCCAGATCAATTAAATACTCTTCACTGCTTCTTTACCTAGTTCATGTGTTTTCTTACCTGTCTTTATTATTTTATTATTCACCTCCCTGTTTTAACTTTTTAGATTAGGTATGTTTATTTTCAATCTCTCTTTTCTAACATAACCAAGTAAAGCTATACATTTTTTACCTAAATAATTTTCACTACCGTTTATGTTCCATCATGTAAAGCTCTATTGTTGGTCAGCACAACTGGTGCAAATAAATAGAGAAAAATGGGAAAAGAAATATATGTTTGGGAGGGTAAATTAACTACCTAACAGTTTTGTTCATTACTGGGTTTACTTTCAGAGAAGAACAAACATATGCAGCAAAAACTCTCTCTCTTTGTTTTAAAAGACAAAAAGTTTAAAGTTAATTTTAATTTTTAAAAAGCTCAGTGGCTCAGCCTGTAATCCCATGCCTTGGGAGGCTACGGTGAGTGGATTGCCTGAGCCTGTGGGTACAAGACCCACCTGGGCAACTTGGAGAGACCTCATCTCTACAATTAAAAAAAAAAAAAAAAAAAATCAGCCGGGCGTGGTAGCATGTGCCTGTAATTTCGGCTACAAGGAAGGTTGAGGCAGAAGGATCACTGGAGCTCAGCAGGTCGAGGCTGCGGTGGCTGGGAGCGGCCACTGTACTCCAGTCTGGGCGACAGAGTAAGACTCCAACTCAAAAAAAAAAAAAAGCCTAGAGGAAAACTAAGGGTGTTTCAATTATTCAGTCTCTAACCAGATATTAACACTTGGAAATAAATGTGGCAACCTCAGTAAACTCAAGTTTTCTCTTCTCGGGGATGGGCTCCTATTTCTCTCCCTACACAAATCACCCTCCCACACTCTCTCCCTTATGTTATCATCTTAAGGAGGTTGGCCACCACCCAAGGCTAACGCTGTGACAGTAAGGGCCTCAGAGACTGGACCACTCCCCCTCCTAGCCACAGGGAAGACCCCACAGATAATGCTATGCTGGGCAGAAGAATCCCAAAGCAAGGGAAGGCCACAAGCCAGAGTCCAGGCTCCAGATTACTGGTGTGACTCTAACCAAGGGTGGGCCAAGAGCAGAGTCCTTTGTCTGTGAGGGAGAGAGGCGAGGGCCAAGAGTCTAATCCCTCTATGGCATCCAGACTCAGGAGAACGCTCCAGTACCTGAGATGACACTGGCTCTCATTCTCAGGTAATGAGACACTCTCAGGAATGTAATCACCTGTCTGGGAATAGGATCCTTTCTGGAACTTCAAACCAAGCAGCTATCCACAGGAACAAAGTCAAAACGCAGGTACCTGCAGAAGTTTTAAAGAAAGAGATATGCGAACTAAGAATAACATGGAAGACGTGTAGCAGGAGTGTCAGAAAACTAACTCCCCAAATGGCTGGGGACTCAAACGGCACTGAGATAAAGGCCTTCTGTACCTTCAGGGGAAGGCTATTCCCATGCCATATAAACCACGCCAGAGTTGAGGAATAGAGAGCTTTCAAACTGTTTTTAAGAAACCAGAACAATGCAAAAACCCAAGACAAAGACAGCACTAATAAACCACAGACCAAACTTACTTATGAAAGCAGAAATAAAAGTCTTAATCCTGCTATTATTGAACATTATTCTTTGGAGTTCTAGCCACTTACAAAAAAACAAGAAAAACAAATCTGAGGCACAGAGGAAGCAATAAAACTGTCATTCTCCTATGTAAGATTTATATTTATGCTTCTATATTAAATGGTTTTTCTCTTCCCAAAAGACATGTATTTGAAGCATAAAGCACTGCTAGGTGAAAACCATGTATCAGAGCTGTAGGCTTAAAAAGTTTGATAGGAAATCAACAATTTTTAAAAGAAAATGTAAACAGTCAAACCTGACTTAGGAAGCAGAGGAAAATACAACCACAAGGGAAGAAATCCAAAAGGTTTAAATAATTTAAGGAGCAACTTCCCAAATAAATACTTGAACCAAGTATTTACTATGTTATAAAAACCTTTCCAGAGCACAGAAAAGAGATGAAAGACGTCCTTAATAATGTGACCACCTGAATGTCCATAAGTATCTAATCACAAGGTAGATGCCAACTTCTGTGCAAAAACAAAAAAATCACATTGCTTTCCTCAAAAAATTCAGGACTAGAGTAAACATATACAATCTTCAATAAACATGCTCAAAATTTTCTGACTTAGGCCAACAGAGCATTGAAAAATGAAAGATTTTTAATAGAAAAACTTTTAAGAGAATCAGACCATAGCTGCTTCTTCCTATGGCAGAGGAAACTTATTTAAAAGTAAAGAAATGACTTTGGAAACAGACTAAAAAACAAAGATGGACAACATATATGTTGTCTGCATGTAAAAAGAGAGGCACACTCATACTACTTGTGGCAATGCAAATTTTATCAAAATTAAAAGTGTACATATCCTCCTATAAATTTTACTTCTATGAATTTATTCCAGAGATATGTAATAACATATTCAAGAATACATTCATTTAAGTGTTGTTAATAGTAGATAAGATATGATTATGAAATCTTTTAAAATAGCAAGGCAATGCTAAATAACTGGATGAGATAATCTCTAAGAAATTAAGTGCAAAACAGGACACAACAATATGTATATAGCATTCTAAGAAACTATAAAAGCAAATGCATTTACACAGACGACTCTAAAAGGTTATATAAGAAACTGTGAATGGTGATCAGTACAATGCCTCTGGGGAAGGGAACTAGGGACCAGAGAAGGGAAGGGCAACTTACTTTTTCATTGTATAGTCTCCTTTAGTTTTTTATTTTTTTACCATGGGCATGTATTACCTAGTCAAAAAAATAAATTCAAAGTTAAAACGAAACAATAAACAAAAGTATTAGTAGAGGCCTTTAGAGGTTGTGCTGTTCACTGAATAGGTGCAGGCAGCGCTAAGGACTTTACGCTGACACTGAATCTAGGCTCTCCTCCCATCCCCATCCATTACCAACCACAGTTTGAGTTCATGGTCCTACCTTAACCTGGTCATCTGCAGATGACATGACAGTCAATTTAGAAAACCCAAAAGAATCAACTCTGAAACCTCCTGGGCCCAGTAAATACTTATGATATTGTGGCTGCAATTTGAATATATCCCTCAATTATATTCAGCAATCACCGTACATAAATACAATGCCATTCCCTACCATGGCAATTCCACTTCTAAAAATTGCAGACCTATCTGCCCATGTGCACAAAGATATACAGTTCAAAAGTATGTTCACAGACGCACTGTTTACAACAGCAGAAAACAGCAACAGGCAGCATAATTCCAACGGCACAGACCACCGAAAAATCACCACAGAGGAGACAGGAAAATAAAGATGGGTCCACTTTTTCTATGCTATAAAAACCAACCAAAATAAAAGTCAACCAGAAATAGAGAGGGAAAAGCATTTTGCAACACAGATGATAGTTCATATTTGAGATGTAAAAAACTCTCAGCATTAAAAAATAATAATCCAACATGAAAATAAAGAACACTAACACCCAGAGTTCATAAAATTAGTAATGATAAAAGCCAGTATTTAACATCAGAAATCTAAGAAATATAAAATGTTACAATGAACACTTTTTTTACTTGTCAAATGGGGAAACATC